TGGTGGGTTTATTCACACGATTGATGGTCAAATGACTGATTTGTGGTGTTACCATCAACCAGGTTCTAATGACACGGAATCCCTGACACTGTCATCGAATGTGGTTTGAATGTGAATCTGTGTAGATGAGTGTATCGCTGCGGGGTTAGAAGATCAGTTACATCCTCGCCATTGACTCTGGGAATCAGTACTTTATCACAATTAAACCAATCAGAGGAATTGATCGCGAAAAACCGATTGACACAAACAATCTATCAATTATTAATCTGTGTGTGTGTGTGTATTTATTTCATTTTATTTGATTTCATTTTATTTCATTTCAATTTTGTTCAAATAATACCAGCAGGACTTTGGCAATTGATAGGACACGGAGAAGGATTTTTCTCTTCTTTAAAGAATACATGTTTATATTTAAAAGAATGTTTTTCTGAAATGAAGGAAACAGCGTTAGCTTTCTAATTGGAAGAAAATCTTTCTACTTAAGATATGCTATTTTATTGTAATGGATGACTTGTAATCGTAGATTTCTCGAATTAAGAACGTTCGCGATGAAGAATTCAACACAAAGCAAGAAAGTATTTTTCTGTGTTAGCGTAAGCACTCTTCACTTTGTTGTTCCATCAGTAATGGTTTTTATAAAAGCAATCGATTCGCGCTGACTTCATCGGAACAACGACAACAAAGCTCCATTTTCATCAGAACAAGAGCAAGAAAAAAAGGAAAGCGAGCTCGAATTTACTTTAATTATACTCGATCCACAAGCCCTCTGCTACGGAGCGAAGTCTTGGTTTCTTTGGGCAGCTTATACTTTCTTCGTTGGTGTTTCGTCCCCCGCGGATTACGCGGCCAATCCCGCTGCTAATTTGCGAGCCCTCAAACGCTCGTCTTGGAGCTCTCGCGCTACTGCTCATCGCTCGCTCCCGCAGCTACTAAAAAGTACATTGACTTGGCTTCGAGTAAGTCACTTAAGTGATGCCCGAGATTTCTTTTATGCTGCTGCTGCTGCTATACTACCGAGGGTTCATTTCCGGGAAGGGTAGTTAATTTTTTTTTTTTTCAGCGTCACGTTAATCTTGCGATAATTATTTCTGCGTCTTACGGTGAATCCTTTCACCGAGCTTTCGGTTGTTCGTAGTTGCGCAATTTTTAAATAACGAACTGTTAACATGTTTATTGCGACAATGGATATTTGCTTAATCGTTTGCTTATTAGTAAAAAAGTGTCTGAACTAAAACCGACGGAATAATAGCGTTAAAAAAGCAGTTTGTAAGAATATGCCCACATAAAAATATCTTTATTCTCGTATTGTTAGAAAATCGAATGATTCGTGATGTGCGGTGCACCTTTTGCCAAGGTGACAGGCTAATGAAAACGCTTATTTAGAAATGTTCATGCCCATAAAGGAAAGCTTGACACAAGCGACTTCATTAAATCTGACAAACAGCCATACACAACATCCCAATAATTCCCCGAGCAGAAATCCGCGCTTCAATGAAACAAAGGCCTCGTTCCCTGCGTGCACTCAAATAATCGCGATGCACTTTCCCTCCTGCATAAAATCCAATAATGCGCGGCTTCGCGTCGTTTAGCCGCGATTTGTCACGCGCGATACGATTTTTGCTCGTATGGACTTTGGCGCGAGATCTTCGAATTCTCGTGTGCGGCAGCAGCAGCAAACATTATTATCTATCGCGAAACGTCCGGCATGTGGCGCGTGTCATATTCGAAGAATAGTCGTCGGAGCAGCATATCCCAGCCGCCGTTGCCGCCGTCGCCGCCGCCGCCGTCGCCGCGCCGGTGGAGATAGCCGGCGACAGAGTTAGAGATAGACAAAGAGCGCAACAATGCGACGAACCGCACGATGAATGCTCGACGAGTGTACGGAGCGGAGAGAGTTGGAATGCCGAAGGATACGGTGCAAACAGATTTCAAGGAAGCGGTTAAGCGCTATTTTTTTTTTTTTTTTTTGTTTTATCTTCTTTTTTTTCTCTCTGACGGAACAGGCCAAATAAATGCGCGATTTGAGCGTCAAATCGTTCTGGAAAACGTACGTTCGATGTTGGATGAAATTTCGATGTAAGAATTTTCGTCAGCGAACGAAATTCGGCTTTTCCAAAATCGATTCAACGACGCACTGGCTAGCTCTTGCGAGGAAGCTCGTGCGCATCCGAACATTCCACATACAGTCGAAAATTCCTATGAGAAATCAAACCGCGCGACAAAGGGATGTACCGTTTCGCAATGCTTGCGGCAGCCGACGTTTGCGCACTGATGTGATTCTCGCCTTTCGCGAACTCGTTGCTCGCGCGATTATAAAGGAAAAAACGAAAAAAAAGAGAGCACGGGACAAAGCCATTAGATTGCAGCATAAGAAGGCACTTATGCAGGCAGTAGTCGGGCCGTTATTCAGGAACTTTGTTGACAGCTCCCCGGATAGGTAGATAAGAACGACCTCTGAATGCCGAAGCTCGTTGAATACACCGCCCGTAGTCGTATAAAGAGAGTGTCGAAGCATAGAGTTAGTTGAGAGTATAACATATGATAAACTCTCGACTCGTCGCTCCTCTCTCTCTCTCTCTCTCTCTCTCTCTCTCTCTCTCTCTCTCTCTCTCTCTCTTTCTCTATGCAGCCTTTTATGACAGACGTATTCGTATTCCGATGTGCGTTATATATTGTCGGCTGAAAAATTGAGCGAAGGGAAGTAATTTTAACGGGATTTGCTGGCGACTATTGTCGCGATTCTGTTAGGGGATATTACGAAACACGAGGGCATACGAAAAGATATTACTTAATTTTTTTTCATACAAACAAATTCGACTTTACTATTAGCCCGTAATATTCAGTTGGCTGAAATCGCAGCGAGTGACAAATAAATTAACCGAACTCTCCATTCTCCCCAGCGCCAGCTCTCTTTTCATTCTTAGCATATAAATCAGCAGCTCCTTTTAAAAATATCCCCGCGCGGCAAGTTCTCTTTCTTCCCACGCGCTCTTCTTATATATCCGAGGCAAAGAAGAGGAAGAAGAAGAGGAAAAAAGTGGTCTTGCGACTGAGTTTGCGCCGCGATTAAATTAAGCCGATGTCGTTTGACAAATGAAGATCAGATAAAAGGATGATCCTCCAGCTACTCAGCTTGTGCTGACTTTACTTCCTCTTGGTTTACGTAAGAGGACTCTCTCAATTTTCTTACCCAGAAGGAATAAAAAAACGAGATAACTGTATACGATATTGTGAGAAATATTCTGCGGAGCGGCCTCGCCAAATTCTTTTAGTTATATTTTTTGTTTTTTATTTTACTATTGTTCTTTCTCATTCCATATATTTCACTTCCGCGAGCTGATTGTGTACGGCAAATGTATCATAAATTTCGGAAATTCTTTGCAAATAAATTTTTACTTTTCCGATGATATCACTACGTAATATTTCGGCTTAAATAGTTCATCACGCGGTTCATGAGTAGGTAAATGAACAGATAGATGCAGAAAAACTTTATTCCGCGGCATATAACAAAGTCCAATTTGCCGTTAAAAAAACGGGCATCAGCACATCAGAAGTCCATGTGCTGCTGGCACAGAATAATCCCTTGCTAACAGACTGCAGCTGAGCAGCGGCAAGCAAGCAACTCGGCACAACAATGATAAGGATAAAAGGCAGAGGCATTACAAACGAGAGTAGGTATACATAAGGATAAGAAGGGACTTTGGTAGAGAACGAGAGGCAAGGAGGTATTAGACTTCAGGATGTTTCGCGAATGAGGAATACGGATTGGTTGTAAGGCGTTTTAATTGGACAAATCCGCCTATCCTCATTAAATCCAGAGGCGAACTCGCGTCTTTCTTCGCATTCTCGGCTTTTTCATCTGTCCAAATCTCTCCCTCTCTCTCTCTCTCTCTCTCTCTCTCTCGCGTGTGAACCTTTCGTACTTACATGGCTCTCTCTTTCTCTCCCCCTTATCTATATCTCCCGCCCTTACAGACGTACTTATATTCCCGCGCTCGCCTCGATTCTCGACTCTAAGTTTTATTATCCTGCGGGGTGGTTTGTTAATCTTCTCGATACCAATGCCGTAAGCTTTATATGCTTCATTGATTTTCACTAATGCGACTTCACTATCGGTATTTTTTTATTTTTTGTCAATGTAAAAGGCGAACAGTTAGCGCTTAACGTTTTGAGATTGTGGTTTGCTAATGAGCCAACGTAATAAGCACGGACGATCAATACATCTGAAGAACCCTCTCCATAGTCGAATACAAAACGTCTCGCCAACGTATCACCTAATTTTCCGGCTTTCCTGGGCGCCTCCATTAATAGACCGCAAAGCCTTTGATTCGCGAGAATAGATCTCACTGACTGTATATGTGTGCGTGTATATATATATATATATATATATATATATATATATATATATATATATGTTGTCACTATTTGCGCCTTTGAGTTAGGCAAGCGGGTATATGGCTTGACAGCTACCGTCGACTTGTCTTATCTGTGGAGGCAGACGAGAAAGAGAGAGAGAGAGAGAGAGAGAGAGAGAGAGAGAGAGAGAGAGAGAGAGAGAGAGAGAGAGAGAGAGAGAGATATTGCGTTTGCCTGTGCTTATTGTGCTTGGTTTGACGTTATCGCTGCCGAGTCTCGCTCGAGCTTGAAACTCTTCTTTTTCTCGGGAAATCCGTACATGTGGATCGAATGTGACGTTAGAGGTGAGGATTATTGTTAGAAATATAGTGCAGGTACAGAGGTGTTGATGGATGAAATTGTTTCTACTGGAAACTGAAACTTTTATAATTTTTTGTCGTTGGCAATTATCAATTCGATAGAGAAAATAATGAAAGATTATTTGAACTATATATTAAAAAAATCAAATTATCAATCATGTAATAACAAGTATGAATAAATGAAATAGAAAACGTTTCAGAAGAATAAAAATAACGGTGTTAAATTGTAAATTGAGGTAATTGTAAAAATAATAACAAGCCAATGAACGAAGTAAGCATGGTTTATATTTTATTCGAGATCGTCATGATAATTATTAATAATCAATAACTAATAATAATAATAATAATAATAATAATAATAATAATAATTTTAATAATAATAATTGGTTCTCATTATTTACAGTCATTACGCCAATAATATTACTCGTTACGAATCATTGTAATTACAGCGAAGGTTACCTTTACTCCCAAAACTCAGAAGTCGATTAATGCCATTTTTTGTTTTATTCGCGTACAATATTTATACGTATAATTGAGTATTTCTATCCTCTTATTTTCTCGCTCTCACAGCTCGCTTTAAGTATTCAAGCTTTCACTCGAGACCAATGTACATGTTACGTTGACGGGGCTATTCGGCATGATAAGGATGTGGTTGTGGTGGGTCCCCATCGAACAGAGCCATCTTCAGTCGCTTGCACTTTGCCCTGCGATTTTTGAACCAAAACTGCACGTTCTTTGGTTCAAGACGGGGAAACTTTTGCCTGTACGGCATACGATTCAGCTCCTCCGTGTATTTTAAAATTAACTGTAACAAGCAATATAAAAGCAAAGTTATTACTCATCAAAGTGTACATAACGAGAGAAAGAGTGAAGATTAATTTGCATACCGCGTGACTGGGGTGAGTATTATGCGTAAACCAAGTCTCCAACCTTGGTACTTCGGTAACAGGATCGATGAAAGTCCTGTTACGTTTTCTCCTTTCGTCTAAGATACTAGTCGGGCAATTGGCGGGTCCACGGGGTGATAGGTAATGCGACATGTACATAACACTGTGGCTAAACATTGGACTCGGTACTAATGAGAAACCAGATAGCGGACCACCAGCACCCGTCGGACTTGCTTCGTCGTCTTCGGAGCCCGATGACATACCACCTCGCGATGGATCTTCTTGTTTGACAGATGACGACGTCGACGACGGCGGTTGGTTCTGTTGTTGGTTCTGTTGCTGCTGATCTTCGGGTCGAGTCGTCAACGAGAGTGGACCGATCGGCGGACTTGCTGGGGGACACGGTGACGGTGACGTCGACTGAAACCAAACGAATCGCCATTATTAGAATCTGCGCAGGCCTGTTTCTCGCGCTAGTTCTCGTCAACTCACCTGATGTCTCGAATCCTCTTCGTCATCGGAGCAATCCTCGCTGACGTTACTAGCACCTCGCGGACTAAGACCAGGTGGACTGTATCCGTTGACTCCTCTGGTCTCGGCCCTTTTCTGCGCTGCCCTGGCATTTTTGAACCAGTAAACTACATTATTCACGTGCAGGGGTTTTCGGTCTCGCCTCGACTCTAAACTGTTCAACTCGTTCACGTAATGCTGAATCTGCTGACGCGTCGGATGTTGATTTTCAGCGAACCACCGTTGAAGTCTGGGTAGCTCGAGTTCAGGATCGAATGAAGTACGCATACGCGATTTGTGGGAGAATACCAAGAGATTCGGATGATGAGCTGTTGGGTGATGATGACTCAAGGGTGTATTCGAGCTTGGCGTCACATCGGTTGGTGGCGGCGATTGGCTACGGTGGTGATGGTTCGACGATGGCTGGATTAAAGGATTGAGGTTGAGTCCAAGATGTTGCTGTTGAAGCCAAGACTCGAAATTTCTTTGAGTTTCTTCAGTTAGGTCATTACCACCTCGGCAAAGGGATGATAGTGTTGCCTGCAAGCAGATCAGGACAAAATATTGGTGAGCTTTTTTATTATCTATAAGTTCGTTAATGTGCAATACTTTATTATTATCGTCAATTAATAAGTAAACAAAGTTGATATCATCTAGTCCGTATATTACTCATCTTCCCGTCAAAAAACTACAACCTTAGCAAACGCGTAGTTTATGAAGATTTATCGTGTAAGTCCCCGATAACTCGGTTAAACCCAGAGCAGCAATCAGACTTGAGCGCTCGCCGAGATGGAGCACAAGTGTGTTAACGCCGCGTGACGAGCAGCCAGGTATAATTCGTCGACGTTGCGCAAACGAAATAAATTAGCCAGCGGCTTGAACTGAAAAACGAAAAAAAAGGCAGTAACACACAAAGAAAGTGCAGCGCGCGCGCGTTATCACGAGGCTCATAAAAGCGCGCGCGGGCGCGCGCCCGCGTCTTATCTGCTGACGTAATAACTCGAGCAGCAGAGCATCTGTCGCGAGCGAAAAACCGAAGGCGCGCCGCTCTCGTCGTTAAAAAACCTTCCGCTAAAAGCCGAAACTGGAAAAGTTCTCGACGTTTATCGTTTGATTTACAAGAACAAACAGCAGGCCGAGAGATACACTCGGAGGCAGCCGCGATGTCGGATCATGACGAGGTAATCCTCCCGCGCGAAAGATCGGTAGCTCGGCAAACGCGGCCGGGCTTATCTCTGATTTACGTTATTACCGTAAATCAATCGCGATCTCCTTGTTGATTCCCACTCGAACGCTGGAAAATATTCCTATGAAAAGAACGATGTGCGTAAGTTTGCCTTCCCCCTGGCTTCCAGTCGGAAGGTAAAATTGGTAATCATAGGGTAACAAGAGCGAAGGCATTAAACTTGGGACGGATCTTCAAAGCGCGAGAGAGAGAGAGAGAGAGAGAGAGAGAGTGCACTTAGATAATGCCCCGGAGCTTTCAACGGCAAGCGCGCATGCCTTTTGATGAGGGCTAGGCGAATTCGGCTGAGTAAAGGGTAATCCTATCACGCCCTTCCCACACCCCTTCCTTAAGCGAATGAAAGATCTTTACCTTCGTCTCTCTTACGTGAGAACGCTACGTACGTCAGCGTCAGCAGACGTCGTCGCGAACTATTCCCGCTCTGTCGGATCGGTGTCTTTCGTGATTTGAGGTTCGCTCTCGTCGAGCAACGCCGTTGGCGTGCGCGCGGGCGAGAGATTGGTTTTCTCACCGCGGGTGACGTGCCTTCGACGTCGCCCCACGGTTAAACGAATAAAACGTTGATTTTCGAGCGCGCATGGCGATTACGCCGCGACCGAGCCGTTTTTTCAGCGGACAATTCGCCCGAGGCGATAGCGAAACAAAAGCGCGATACAGGAGCGCGTCTGCCGAAGTCGCAGGGATCAGGAAGCCGCGAGTGCGCGCGCGGAGTTTCCGTTTCCGGCGAAGATTAGGCATCGCGATAGAGGCACGACCGAGAGAGTGGATGCAAAAGAGCTGGAGGACTTCTTAATGAGATTAGATGCTTCGCCCTCGCCGACGGCAAACACTCTCCTGGCGAGATTTACATTTTATACATTTTTAAGTGGTGTCGTCTTGTGTACGAGCCAGCGCGGCTTCGCCGAAAGTCGCTCGCCGCGCGCCGTCTGTCTCTGGTAATTTTATTGTTTCTGTATTTTTTGCGCTTAATTAGTGTAAGAAGCTGACTGGAATTATCAATCCTTGTATTAGGTGAACTCAATGGAAAAGCCGAATAATTTTAGTATTAATCGCGAAAGGGAAGAAAACTTCATTGCGAGCAATTCCATAATGTACATAGGGTATAAAATAAATTCTTTTCAGAGACTTCTACATTAGTAATTTTCAATTACTTCCAATGAAATAGTTCTTGAATTTAATTGTATTCTACTTACTATATTGATTCTACACATATGCTTAAGCATTATAAATTTGAAAGGGAATAATAAGTATAAGTTATCCGTATGGCTTCAAAATATGTGCTTCTATAGATTTGTACTAATGATTTTCATAATCGGAAATCTTATTTTTAACGACTATCAAATACAATATTACGTTTATTATGGGATAATTCGAGATACAACCTTCTGTGCTATCGTTATTTTTCAAAATTTTCTACAACCATTTCATTCAATAATAAATTTCGATAAGTGAAGGCAAGCAAAACAAACCACTAAGTCGAATTTTCAGATTAAGTAACAGTAGGTTTAATCAAGCCGAATATTTTTAGGCATTGATTAAAATAGAGATACGAGAAAAAATACAATAGAAAAATGAAAAAAGTAACGTCTAAGTGAGTTTTATTTTTGGAGATTTATCAAATAAGCACATATATTGAAATTCAAGCTACAAATCGTTTACTTGATTTTTTATCACAGTGTATTTTAAATAATACAAGATCAATTATAAATAACGATTTGTAAAAATCAATGAAAGAAAAAAAAATTTAAATTGAATCAGAAATTGTGCACATTGAACATCAGGGAAAGAGAATCGGTTAAAGTACCTCATCGAGCGGGCAACCAGCAGCAACAAGAACGGCATGGCTACGTAACAGCAATAACCTGAGCAATTTATCCCTGACTTCACTGGCGGGTGTGGGTGGTGGTGGCCTCGATCTGTACACCTGTATCTTGAGAGTGGCAAGGTTGATCAGCTCGGCGAGTATATCTCCAACGGTAAGTAGTGGGCCTTCGGCAACCTTCTCCGTTGGTAATGGCTTCCAATTTCTTATCACTATGCTACCTCGCGCACTCAGGATCAAGTCATTCGAATAATTTAGTCGCATCAGTACTTCGCCGACCAAATCCTGTGGAACATTTGAAAAACAAATTTCTTGTAATTTTGTTGTTTGTTATTGATATACGAATTTGAGTGGGATAGTGTATTCACCTGGAATGGCATGTTTGCTGGAATGAAAACGTATGTGTCAAGTTCAACGTGCGGCCGCCGCCAATTATCGCGTCCATTGGCTGGCCGAGTGTCAATGATACTGTGGATTGCTTCTACTACACAGTGAATAGGAAGACTTTTACCTGTAACAATTAAAACAATTTGACGATTACAACTGAGGCAAAACGGTACAATCAGCTATTCAATTGAATATTCTTAATTTAATAGAATATATAAGCCATTGAGTTCGATAAAAAAATAATACAGGAATTCGATTATTTGACGTTTACTCTTGTGTAAAGATTCAATTCGAGTATTAAACACACGCATATACATATGCTCAAATCATTTGAGATTCACGTTTCGATAAAACAATTATAAATAAGATATCGCTCGTTAATTTTATGTTATTAAATTTTATAAATCACGCGTGATCGATATGCTACACGAGAAAGTTGCTCGTCGACATTTCTTAGATAGCACAATAAGACAAACTACTTTCATCAATCACGTACAAGTCCGAGTGGATATATCGTGCATTCAATCCCTTATTCACGATTGTCTCTCTCTCTCTCTCTCTCTCTCTCTCTCTCTCTCTCTCTCTCTCTCTCTCTAGCAATACATAATCCCCCGATCGAGAGATTCATCTTTGCTAACTCGGAAACTCATAATGCGGCTTGAATCGCAAGAGAACTAGAAGTCGCGCAATGGAAAGGGTATAACCCCCGACGTGGTGAGCGCACGTGCTAAGCATATGCAGATCCACTCGTCTATCCCCGTTTGGGCGTGAAACAATGGGCTGCCGACACAATGGGCACAAGGATCCAAACGCTTAACCCTGACTTAAGTCTTTTCAAATCCCACTCCCTACTCCCGAGAGCGGCTGAAAATCTCAAGACGCGTGTGCTCCGCGGTTCCTCTCTCGCTGCTGCGAATCAAAGGCCACTTGTGTTTATCCAAAAAGCGCCTTAACGGCGTAGCCCGCCTGCACGCCCGGCATTAGAATTATCCATCGGTGTGACTACTGTAGCTGATGGATTTGCCAATGTTGCGAGCATTCGGTGCCGATTTTTCCATTTCGTTCGAGATGCAGGGTTTCGGGCTGCTCGTTCAATATTTAACGATCAGTCCGCTGGAAAATTACGTCCATCCAGTTTTCAAATCTTTTCATATGTTTTCAAAATTGAAGATTTTGTAAATGTCCATCTTATTTGAAGCCAGAAAGCCGTCGGAGAGATTGGTTAATTTTCTTTTCACCAGCCGGATAATCACGCTGTATTAAATTACAATCGAAACTAACCGACAATGCAATCGATCCTATCATAGCTTACATTCAAGTTCATCGTTGATGTTCCGAAAAACTAGCTATACATCGGGCGCATCATAAGACACGCGAAGGTGGTAATAAACGCAGTAGTACAGAGCTGCAGAAGCTTGGTTGGGCGCGCGACAGAGCTCACTCGATATATATCCCGCGTCTGGCTTGAAAGCAAGCAGGTAAAGGTTCGCGAGGAAGGGGCGATTAAATTGGCGGTCGCGCGCTTCAAAACCGGCCGTGGCACAAAGACCGAGGAGGCCGGCGCTGCTCTAATGAAAACTATAGCCCGGGTCGCCAAGGATTTAGCTAGCCAGTGGTCAAGCCACAGCAGCAGCAGCACCACCACCACCACTGGCGCGTATTAGATGGCAAGTTTAGGCATTAATACCTAATAACGCACACAGGACGCCCATGGGCTACTAAATCCTTTGTTGGCCCATCTTAGGGCTGGACTTAACACCTTCACTCTCGTAAGACGTGCAGCACTGCTGATGCTTCGCCGAAGGGAAGAAGCGCTACGTTGTTAGCTGTCGATCGGACATCGTGATTACGTGATTACAGCTGGCAGTAAGGTTATACTGCATGCGCAGTTATTAAGTGCTATTGTCTCCGGTATGTAAGTATTGACATGTTATTCTCAACGGCCAGTCCTTCTTTTCTTTATTCGATTAATTATTTATAGTCAATAGTGATGAATTCTGTCACCTATCTTTCTACGTGTAAACATGTACACGTGTAAACATGGAGGACAAAAAACGAAAGAGATGAGAAAAAACAAAAATAATTGTAAACCACAGCTGAAGACTCACAAAGAGCCGATGGTTCCAACGTGTCTAAATTGAAATATCAAAACAACGCGATAACTTCCCTGCGCAATTAGTTTAACGCGATCCGATAAAAAAGTGAGGAACGACTACTCGGGCAAAATGGTAAAAGAAGTTATCATCGAAAAAGTGAGTGGCTGTCAGGAGCTTGGCGACACAATGAGACAGGCAGTTTCGCTAAGGACTTGACTTCGTTAAGGAGAGTACAGAGGCAGAGAGTTCGATCGTCGTTTATTTTTTATTTTTTTTTTTTTTTCATTTTCGTCGCTCGCCGCGCGCACAGCAGCCGAGAATCTTTAATCTTCAGCAGCATCCGGCGGACGTTACCAAAGACATTTCTCATTTCTGGCCCGATTATCGTGTTTCCGTTATCTTCTCGCAGGCGCGCGCCCGCGACTACTGTCGCCGCCCGTCTCTCGCTCTCGCTCTCTCTCTCTCTCTCTCTCTTTGTTCAACGATAAGCTTTTTCGCTCTCTGCCGACGAACCGACTTTTGATGCTTCTTCGCCCATCTTCTTTCTCCAGATTTCACTTGTCTTTCAGGTGCCATTCGCGATTACAGCTGCTATTATTTTGGTGCTTTTTTTCAATTATCAGAACGTGATATTTTTTCATTTTAATCAATTGTGATTTGAATTTAAATCGTCTTCTAATATGAATGAGTATCCCTTATTTTCATTAGATATGTCAATTACTTTTTAAATATGTTTGGTTGAGTGGAGATATAGCGTATACATTTTTGTATCACTACTTCAGTTCTCTAGGTGGAGCTCGCAGCTTCTTGCTATGCATGGTTATCAAGGAGTTTGAGAAAAGAAAAAAACCTATGCAAATCACGAACGATTATTTCATTCGAGTAGATGGCTAGTTTCTATACAGCGAAATGATCTTATGAAAATTGTTAAATGACATGAAAGTAATTAATCTGTTCAAGTTATGACAATGAACGATTGAACGAACAAAGAACACTTACGGGATCTATCGATATGAACGAAGAAAGAATCGTTCATCGACTAAAATCGCATCCGAAGGTACACGTGAGTTTAGCCCACTTTTCGCGATAGAAGGCAGGGTGCAGGCGAGCCGTTGTTTGTGCGAAACTGTGGCGTATACAGATAGAAATGTAGGCGAGTGAACGCAAACGAGCCAGAGGGACTTAGGTTCCTAAGGTTTCTTCGGCTCGCGCCGCGTCTTCTCGTAATCTAAGACTGCTCAGTCTAGTCTCACGGAATCTAATCGCGTTTTCTCGAAGCCGTTCGCGCATCCACCCATCTATCTCTCTCTCGTTAGCTTTGCATACGCAAGCTTGATAACACTTTCATCGATATATCACCGTTGCGTCTGTCTATTGAAAATTCGCTAGGATAACGCGAATCGTCTCGCTCTTTACGCTTCCTGGTCTACTGATATTTCACTCGGTAAACGTCCGAAAATCTTGGACGTTGCTATCCGTCGAGAAATCATAAATAACGTGCCACGTAATTTTTCAAACATTTCAAAACAACGAAACGACATTTGCTCTACGAAACATTGCATTCGTCTGTTTTAATAAAGCGAATAATCATTCGACCGAAACAAATAGGCGATAATCACTTGTAAACTCGGACAAGCTGGAATTTAGATCTAAAGCGACAGAAAAGGAAGAAGTGTGGGCGCGTGTCCTCGATATCGCAGGCTGATCCGGCGGATGCCGCTAGATAAGAAGCAGCCTGTGAAACTCTTTTCCGAGCCTAACATTTATTATCTTTTTCCTCTCTCTCTCTCTATTACTATTTTTTATACTTATTCTTTATTAATTCTTATCATTTAGCTTATGATTACCCTATCTTGTTAATTAACTGTGAAATAAGGATGAGGTTCAACCTGAAAAACAGTTGTGTTTAATTGTAACTGGCAACTGATAATGTGCAACGGTTGAATCGAGTTTGTTCTTCGAAATAACGAGTTTAAAACTCGAAAGAAGCTACTTTCAAGCAGAAAATCACGATTTACTGCTTGTATAACGTCTTGGTTTATACGACTAGCGAATTCTAATGGAAACTCTAGGCGCGCTACGAAAAATATATATATATATATATCTATAAACTCTAGCGAGTCCGCGTGATCCCCGAGTAATCGAAACACGATGTACCCTCGCGCCGTCAGCAACAATCTCATCCCTCGTATGACGCACGCAACGTGGAAAAAAAGAAGCGTCGGGCTAGAGCAGCATCGCATCGGGCCATTTTTTTTTTTTCTGTTTTTTTTGTTGCGCCCGCAAGTGTATATATAAAGGCTCGCGTGCGATTTAAGCTCTCGCGCTTGCACAGACACACAGAGAGCAGGGCGCAAAGCTCCAGATAAGGCATAATGAGATAACCTTCGGGGGCTTACGAGATCACCGGCCACGCGACGAAACCCTCCAAATCCAGGCGTTAGCGTGCGATCACGCGCGCTCATCGACAAAGACGGCGACGACGACGATGCGACTCGACTTTGTTATTTTTCTCCATTTCTTTTCTCTCGTAGAGCGAGTTTTTGAGAGAGGGCGCCCTCGTTTATCAGGCCAAATTGATTCTCGCTTCCGTGCGCGATATTAACTTCGAGATTCACGCGAGACGTCACGCGGAAGATCGTACCCGAGCGAGAACTGGATTACGAAGAGATCGTTACGGTCGCGCGATCGACCGTCAATGATTTTGCGTGTTTCGCAGTTTAACTTTGGCCAGCTGCTTCCGCTCGTACGCGCGAGCCCTGCGAAGAGTGCAATCCCCAGTGGCGCTGTCGGAAACGAAAAGCGAAATAAGGTTCGTCGGAGCCGAGCATCCTCGGGGCAGCAGCACGCGCGCCCGATACGATTTGGAAATTGTTGGCGCAAGCGCGCCAAGTGTATATACGCGGAGGGGTTAAAACTTGCCGCGCTACGGGTATATAAGACGCTTAGAACGTAAGCTTTTGCGCGGGCGGGATGAAAAAAGAGGCGAGGCTGCGCGAGATGCGTGGAAGGCGAGAGGAAGTAATAT